CTCTGCACTGAGCTGCGTCTTTGCCCTTTCTATTCTTTAATTTTATTTTTTTTTATTTTTTGGTACTAGGGATCAAACTCACAATCCTGTGCTTGCCAAGCAGGAACTTGCACCACTGAGCGAAACTCCTAGCCCTTATTTTTTAATTTTATTCTGAGCCAAGGTTTCACTCAGTTCATGACAGGCTTAGTCTCAGCTGCAACTTGCATTCCTCCTGCCTCAGCTCTGCCTGTTCCCAGCAGCCACTGTGGGCCTGTTTCCCCATCCGCAAGATGGGGGGGGCGCGTCTATGGGGGTAGTCCTGAGCATCAACTTTCAGGTGACGGGAACACTGCTGGTGCAGCCAGGGCCACCTCCACCCTCTCTTGGAGATGCTCGGCCACTCCACACCCAGGCCCACTCTCAAAGCCCCACCCACACCACACATACCAGCAACTTGGAAGGCTGAGGCAGGAGGGTCTAAGTCTAGGGCAGAGTTCCTCTCATCTTGAATAACAAAAAGGCCAGATGTTGCTCAGCAGCAGCGGGCTTGGTTGGCACATGTGAGTCCCTGAGCGCCGTCCCAGTGAAGCACAAAGAAAGATGCAATCTGAAGTCCTCACTCTGCATCTGTCTTGGTGCTCGGTGTGGAGCTGGGGACCCTGGTTCCCAGCGGTGGAGGATGCAGGACACAGGACTCAGGATGCAGTCTGGGCAATGAAGACCTCGCCCTGCAGCAGCCCTGCCACCCTCTCCGCCAGGCAGTGTCCCCAGGGTGCTGGGCACCGTCAAGTGGGTGCAAGACGACCTGGGCTCCATGGGCTCCGGGTTCCCTGGCTATGGCCCAAATGCCCCTCTGGCCTACATCTTTTGGCCTCTCCCTGTGCCCGGTGCAGTCTCCCCACAAGGATACGGCAGGTGGATGAGGCCACCCTGCACCCGACCCTGAGCCACCGCAATCACAACTGTGGGAGCTCCTCTGCAGCCAGGCAACTCCCAGGCCCAGGGTGGGCCATACTCAGCCTGCTGCAGGCCATGCTCAGGGACAACTGCGTGGGTGCTGAGGCCGCAGATGGTCCGAGCGGTGGCAGCAGCCAGCTTGGAGGCAACAGTGCCAGCACCAGAAAGAAGGCCAGTGTGGGAGCAGCCTCCACACTCTGTCACCTGAGCCCCTGCAGGGCACACTCAGGGCCTAGGCCTGCTCTGTCCAAAGCGGCACGGAGCCACCAGTCCCAGAGACCCTGCCAGGATGCTGCCAGCTCTTCTGTTAGGTCACTGTCTTCTGTGACAAAGTCTCTCTACATCCTTGTTGTCCAGGCCACTCTTAAAACACCCAGCCTCAAGTGACCCTCCTGCCTCAGTGTTCCGGGTACCTGGGACCACTGTGCCTGGCTGACCAGAGGCTTTCCTGCCACCAGCTCAGTGGCCCATCACCAAGAGACTCCTAGGATCCTGAGCCCCAGCTGGTGGGATCTGGCAGCTCTGCTGTCCAAATGCCACCAACACCCACTCGCCCTGGCCTTCCCCTGCCCAGCTTGTCACACTACCCACCCCACTCACGGCCATGACCGCCTCCTAGGGAGAAGTGACAGCACCAAACAATGCCACTGGGTGCAGGGCCACAGAATACAGGCATGGCAGCACACACCCATCACCCCAGCCACTCAGACGGCTGAGGCAAGAAGATCACAAGTCTGAGGCCAGCCTGGGTAACTCATTGAGACCCTGTCCCAAAATGAAAAATGACAAGAGATGGGGAAGGGCTGCCAAAAAGAAAGGACACCAATGCCTAGGGCAGCACAGTTCCAGCAGTAAGAGGGTGGAAACCAACCAAGCGTCCAAATGTGGGTGACAGGGGCACAATGGCTTACATAATGGGGGGGCCTGCAGCCTCATGGAGAAGAGCGCCGAGGAGCACAGTGACCCCCATGTAACAGCACAAGTGGCCTCTCTTTCTCCCTCCCTTCCTCTCTTCCTTCCTTCCTTTCTGTCTCTTTGAGACTGTCTCACTACACAGTTCAGGCTGAGCACATCTTTCCTGAGGGCCCACTTTCCTGAGAGCTCACTTTGCAGCCCAGGCTGGCCTGGAACTCACAGCGATTCTCCTGCCTTAGCCTCCTGAGTGCTGGGATTTCAGGCATGCGCCCACTACACCTAGCTCTTGCATTTGTGATCAGTTTCACACCTTGTGTTTTGCCTCCAAACATTTTAAAAAGGAACAAAACGCTGATGCAAGTTGTGACATGCATAGATCTTAAAAACAGGCCATTGGTGACAGACGTTAGACACAAAGGCCACACGGTGTGTGACTGATTTGATACAAAATGTCCCAAACGGGGGATTCGGGGGATTCGGACAGAAAGCCGATTAGTGACTGTCAGGTCAGAGGCTGGAGGAGGGGACAGGGTCTCCTTGCATAGAGGGAAATGTCAAAGCCACTTGTGACAGCTGCATAGCTGCACAAAATACAACCCACTGAAGGAGCTGGGGCCCAGAACACAGTCCTCGGGCTCCTCTGCACATAGACAGCAACCCCACAAGTGCTCAGCACAGAGGCTCTGCGTCCCAGCCCTTTCTTTTTTAATTTTAAGACAGGGTCTTGCCAAATTGCCAGGTTGCCCAGGCTGGATTTGAAACTTTCCATCCCCCTGCCTCAGCCTTCCAAGGGCTAGGATGACAGATGTGCACACCACACCTGGCTCAGGTACTGTCAGTTGGATCTGAGGCAGCTGGTGGCACATCTTCCGCAGCCGGGGCACCTGGCCTCCCCATGCCTGCCCAGTCCAGAGTCCTTCTCAGGCTCAGGCACCTCAGGATCCAGCCTGCCAGTCCTCCACAGTGGCCACCCCCAGTGTCACTCCATCATTTCTCTCCCCTGCATCCCTCCACAGCTCCCCAAACACCCAGCCCCAGTGCTCTGTGTACCTCTGGGTCCCCATCCCCATCACCCCTTCTGGGATGCACCAGGGAGCAAAAAGTGTCACTGGGTGAATGAACGAGAGGCTTTAACTGGGCTGGATTCTGAGGTCCAGAGAGGTTAAGAAACCCACTTGGTGCCACATAGCAGAGTGTAACAGCTCTCCGCTGAGGGTCCTGCACACAGGGCTGCTGTCCTTACACATTTTCGGCAGAGGAGCCAGAGCAACTACAGTGCCGCCTGTCTGCAGGTGCCAGCATCCTGCCATCTACTCAGGGCCAGGCGCCAGGCCACAGCAGGCCACTGATGGGCATTCGATTGGTTATGATGACCAAAAATACCTACAGGTGTTATCAAGCCACCCCTGGAGAACAGCTGCAGAATTGCCCACAGAAAACCCCGCCATTCGTCTACGCCCAGTGCAAGTCCACCTCAGTCCAGGACCCACAGCTCCCAACCAGGTACAAAGGAGGCTACAGAGAGGGAAGAGATGAGAAATCTGTACCTGGGCCAGTAGAACGGCACCTGCAAATCCTCCAGTCTTTGCAAACTCAATGACCAACAAGCAAACCACAAACACAACACATGACTATCCAGGGACTACTACTAAGCTGTGAAAAGGAAGGAGGCACTGATGCATGTGACAACACAGGTGAACCCGAAAACACAATGCCAAGGGACAGCAGCAGACAAAGCCACACAGTGTGTGACTGCTCAGACACGGCATGTCCAGAGCAGGGGAGCCACAGGGACTAGAAATACATCAGGGGCTGCCAGGATCAAGGAGGCAGTGGATGGGCCCCTCTCTGCATCCTGGAACAGCAACAGAGATGTTCAGCACACAGATCAGTGTGTGTTCAACAAACCCACAGAAATAGAAGACACACTTCCCAGGCCATAGGGTGACGACTTCAGGAGAAAAATGAGCAACTGATTATAAAATAATAGGATCCAAAAATTCCATCTGAGAAGTAGGACTGCAGGGCAGGCCGAGCACATCTTTCCTGAGGGCACATGGTGCAGGACACAGTCCCACCAAGAGACAGGGAGGAAGCCAGGACAGCAGAGCTGCAGGTCTGGAGCTGCCAGGCACTGTACCCCACCCAGCCAGGCCGGGGCTCCAGCCACGAAACCTCCCAGGGATATGGCAGGGCACCTCTTGGGCTGCCAGGAGCTGGCAGAGCCAATGTGCCCAGCCACCCGAGGCCAAGCCATCCCTCAACCCTGATACCCTGATCCACATGTGACCAGCTGTTCCAGTCCCACTGGGAGGAGCAGTGACAGGTGCCCACCTCAGAGGCTGCATGGGGAAGAGACAGCTGCTTCCCCTCCAAGTTCCTGCACTCAGTGCCTTCTGGAACCCTCTCTGGGTCCCCACTGGGGGCAGCAGTTGAGCTCCCATCAGGTGTCCCAGAGGCACGGATACCGGTCCCACACCAGGTGTGTCCCTACCGCAGCACCCAAGCAGGACACAGATGACAACCATGCAGACACCCTTCCCCCTCAAGAGGCAATGACGCAGGGGCAGCAGCTCCCCTCTGGTCCCAACGCCTGTCCCCCACCCAGGTCCCAATGATGTGTGAGCACCGGTCCCTGCCCAGTGACAACTGAGAAAAGAGCCTGGTCCTGCCTGCATCCCCATGATGTGGGAGCGCCTGCACCGCGACTCCCAGCTCACAGAGCTGCTTCTCAGCGGCACTCAGGTGTTACTCAGCAGGGTCAGCAGTGCCCCCAGGTGGTAGAGGCGGAGAGGGGGCTAGCTGTCCCCTGCCAAGTCCTGCTATGGGACACAGCCCCTCCAGGTGTGCAGAGGTGGGCGGCCATCTCCTTCAGGTAACGGCGCTAGAGTGGCACCTGTCGTCCTCTCCCGGCACCTGTCCCGCCCCAGTAGCAATAGGAGAAGCACCTGCCGCCCAGGTAGCGATGCCGTGGGACCCGCGCCGCCCACGACTGTCGCTGGGTGGGAACCTGTCCCCGAGGGCCGCGCAAGCCCCGCCCCCGCCCCGCCCCGCCCCCGCCGCGCGCCCCCCGCTCCGTGCACGCGCCGGACACGCGCCCCCTCCCCGCGCCCTCCCGGCCGGGTCGGCGCCGGCATCCTCCATACCCGCGCGGCCCGCGTCAGGCTCAGGTCCTTCATGACCTCCTCGAAGGCCGCCGTCTCCTCCGCCTGCTTCTGATTGTGCAGCGCGATCTTCTCGCTGAATTTCCGCGGATTGTTCGAAGTCGCCATCTTCTTGCCGCCGCCGCCGCCGCCGCCGCCGCCTCCTCCTCCTCCTCCTCCTCCTCCTCCACTACCTCCTCGCCCCCCCCCACTCTCCCGCGCGACCGCGCAGGCGTCGACCGGGCCCACGAGCGGCCGGCAGAGCGCAGGCGTAGCGGCGGGTGTGAGCGCGGCGCAGGCGCACGGGAGCAGCGCGCGGCGCGGGGGCGAGGGCGCATGCGCGCGCCTCGGGGGGCGCGCTCGTGACGGGTGGGGCGGGGGAGCGGAGCGAGTGGGAGCTTCGGCGCAGGCGCAACAATCCGCCGCCTTGGCCCGCTGGACAGCGGCCGCACGGGCGACGACAAGTTGGCGAAGGGCCTGGGGTTATTGAGCCCCCCACGAGAGAGACAGCCTATTCTACGTCCTCCCAATTTACAAAGATAGGCCAGGCACATCCGGCGGACAGACAGCAAGCTCCCCAAGGCTGACCCTGGGCGCGGACCCGGAGCTGTATGTGCGTTCATTCAACCTCATCCGTTCACTGCACGAGTGTGAAGCGCCCACTGTGCTGGGCAAACTGGGGCGCGCATGAGCAGGCAGTGGACCCGTTCTTTTGGAATGTTCAGTGGAGGAGGGGGAGGCAAAACCCACGAGTGACCAAGAAGACCACTGATGGGAAGCTCGAGAGCGACAGGAGGACCACCAACCAGGGTCAGGGAGGCAGGGATCCTCAGCCTCAGTCCCTGACCCGTGGACGCAGAGTCACCCTCACGCCTTCCTTCTCCTCTCCCACGTATTTCAGCCCTGAGGACCAGAATCGCAGAGGCTCAGCCTCCTCGCTGCGTACTTCCCCAGCCCAGGCCTCGCGCCAGGATTTCTGCCTTGCCGTGAGGTGCCAAGGGAAGGACCCAGGGAATCCCACCCACGGCCGCCTGTGTCGGGGGCGGAGCCTCTCCGTGGCAGGGAGGGAGCTTCTAGGGGCGCGCCTGCAATCGGAGGGACCCCAGCCATGGATATGAAGCTCCGGATTCCAGGACAATGGGGATTACAGAGTGGAGGCAGAAAGGACTGCGGGAAGGGGGAGGAGAGATGTCTCAGATTCGTTTCATTCCAGAGTAAGAGACGGTGGAGGGATGCTGACGGAGATTATAGGGGACACCAACTGTTTCCAAACATGCTTTTACTCACGTTTTACGATCTTAATAAAATGTCCATATTAACTACATGTGCATACACGTTTTCATTTGTGCATTTGCCACTGCCCTATTTGAGATTTTTTTGTTCATATGGCTTTCAGCATTTTTATGCACTTCTTTTATTGCCCAATAAGCATCTCCTCTTTCCCACCCTTTCTGGTGTCAAGAACCGTCCTTCCGGGAACACTGCAGGACTTTCAGTACCTGAGACGTGGACCAACCTGGCAGGCCACACCTCCTAACCCTTAAAGTGGAAAGACCCCGCCCTAAAGTGAAAGGCTTGGCCAATCAACACAGCCCAATGCTACACGTATCGTGGTTGGTTCGAACGGGTCACATGACATAGACCAATTGGATGAAATCCGGGAACTTTTGTTTGAACCGTGGGAAAGAAAGGACACTTTCTTTGGCCATCTAGTCAGATGGTGATAGGAGTCTGTAGTGCTATCGGTCACCATGTGAAAGGAGAGACCTGCACAGAAAAAAACGGTGCCAAAAGATTGTAAGACCTGGGCAATTTAGCAACACCTCATCTCGAAACAAAAAACAATAAACTGTGTGGTGGCAGTCAACTGTCATCCTACCACTCAGGAGGCTGAGGCAGGAGGATTGCAAGTTTGAGCCTACCTTGGACAACTTAGTGATTTGGTGAGACACTGCCTCAAAATAAACACTGGGGAGGGGGAGCCTGGAGATATAACACAGTGTGGAGGCCTTGGCTTCAATGCCCTGCACCGCAAAAATGAAGAAGGGCTGGGGATGTAGCTCTGTGGTTCAGAGCGTGCTGTACAGAGGCCTTCTGGTTCTGGGCATCCCCTGAGGTCACAGAGGACACAGGACACAGGGACAGGACAGGTGGACCAAGTCCAGGAGCCAAGACTACCTCAGCCTGACCGCTTGGCTTCTTACCCAGGCAGGAGGCAGGAGGATCGCCAAGTTTAGGCGAGTCTGAGCAACCTAGCAAAAAGACCCTCTTAAACAAAAAGAAGCCAGGTGTGGTGGCAGTGGTGCACACCTGTAATCCCAGTACTCAGGAGGCTGAAGCAGAAGGATTGCTGCAAGTTCGAGGCCAGCCTGGCTATGAAGTGAGTTCAAGGCCAGCCTGAACTATATAGTGAAACCCTGCCTCAAAAAAAAGAAGTGCACCTCTCCTGCACCCCTTTCATCCCAGAGCACCACCCAGCCTTTCTTCCTACTCCACTGACCCAGATTAGGTGGAGGGTGACAGGGACAGGATCCAGGCATGAGGGCACAGCTTTCCCTCTTTCTCTCCTCCTCTCTTCTTCCTCACAGGAAGTCACTGCTCCTCCCAGGGCCGAAGAGCCTCCTGAGGTATTGGGGTGGGGGGACCCCACTCCTGCCCCCGCCTCTGCCCGTCTTCCACAGCTCTCCAATGCTGCTCCCTCTGCATGCTCCTATACCTAGCACCTGGTCCACAGGAGGTGACCCCCAGTGGCACATCCCCATTTCCAGGAGCTCTCTGGGTCTTGGTCAACTCCCCATGGACTGAGCTGAATTTAAAGGCTGGCAGAGTCCTCTGCTTCTTTTCCTCTTCCCTGCAAGGTATGAGAACTGGGGGGCTTGTTTTATACCAACCTGTGTTCCTTCTATTTTCCAGGTCATAGCACAAGTGTTCACTAAGAGATGGAAAAACTCCTGCTCATCCCTTAAAGCCCACCTCAAATGTCCCTCTCTTCTGGCAGACCAACCTGGTATCCAAGGAGAGCTGGGGCCCTCTGCCCAGGTACACCCTGTGTGGCTCACTCTGCAGCTGGCCCTGACCCGAGGGCCAAGAGGCACCCAGAATTGAAGGATTTCCCTGGAGTTACACAATGCGTCTTCCAAACAAGCCAGACCTACTTTTGTCTCTTCTGCTTTATAGCTCAGGCTGACTTCTCTGTTCCCAGCCAACTCCCTCAACAGTAACCCACTTTCTATGGCTCACCCCCTCCACCTCAGCCTCGTGCAGACAGCCCCAGGACCTTTGCATGGCCTTTGCTTGCTCCCCAGCAAGCCTCTGAGGCACGTGGAAAAGCTGAAACTTGAGAGAGGCTCCGTTCACCTGGGGCCTTGCTGTCCTCCCCCGCTAAGTGTGGAAAACAGCCCTGGATTGAGCACACCAGCGGAAGATGATGCAGACAGCCTGGGCCAAAGCACACAGGTTGGCAGCTGCTTTCCGGTCCTCCTAATGAGGACCATGAGCTCTGTGGAGTACCCCTCTGCAGGGTACTTGCAGAGGTGAACCTGGGCCTCTCTCAGAGCCCAGCTGGGCCAGGGCACTCACCAGCCCTAGCACCACGGCCACACAGGAACAAATGGCAGCCCAGTGTGGGGCACCCACCCGAACCCCAGCACTCCATGAGGTCAGATTAGGCAACTCAGCAAGATCCTGTCTCAAAATTTACAGGAAAAGGGATGGGGTTTTAGTTCAGCGGCATAAGTGCCTGCTATGAGTTCAATCCCCAGTACAAAAAAAAATTACAGGGAAAAAAACTGGGTATCAGGGCACGTGCCTGCAAGCTCAGCACTGCAGAGGCTGAGGCAGGAAGATCCAGGCCAGCCTGAATTGCATGTAGCCAGACACTGAAAAAAAGCCAAATTAAATGAAACAGAAGAGTGGGGAGGAAGCTCAGGGTGAAGGCCCTAGGTTCAAAGTGCAGACATGCAACCCACTGCTGGTGGTCAGGCAGCAGATACCAGGACCCGGTGGGGAAGAAGGGGCGGGCAACATCCAAAGTGGCATCCGGGCCCTGTTCCATATGAGACTCACGGTGCCGTACGTGTCCTGAGACCAGGCTAGACACAGCGACCTCCCTGGCCCAGGCCCCTCCTCTGATTTCCCTCACCCAGGACGCCCACCACCCCACCTGCCCACCTGCTCACAAGTCCCCAAGCAGAGACGTCAAGCTGACTTTTCTCAATTCTTCTTTCTTTTGCTTCAGTGCTAGGGACCAAATCCGGAGCTCACAAGTGCTTGGCAAGGGCTCTGCCCTCCAGCCCACCCTGGCCCTTCACTCTCCCTATGGGGACAAGAACTTGTAAAGTGCTCTAGGCTGGCCTTGAACTTGTGATCCTCCTGCCTCCTAAGTAGCTGGGGACACAGGCCTGTGCTGCCCAGTTTGTCCCGGAAGCCTGCCGTTTTCTGTGTGGCTTCCACATCCTTGGGCTCACACTGGTTCCTGCTGCTTGCAAACAGAAACTCCAACTCACATACAGTGGAGGGGCTCCAGCTCGTCACAGCTTGGTGGCAGGGATCAGAATACCCTAAGATAGGCAGACATTTCTACTTCTCATAAGGAGTCTGGAGGTCCAGACCCAGGGTGTGAGTGGTGTCCTTGCGAGTTTAGGGACTAGAAAGGGAACGTCTCTGTTCCTCTCTTAAGTTGCTCTTTGTGGCCACAAGATGGCTGCAGAAGCTCCTGGCCTTGTCTCCCACAGAGGAAGCGGTCAGGGAGCGAAGGGGCAACAAGGCCTCTCCCTTGTCCAGGAATGGCCAACCCCTTGAAGCTCGCTGACCTGAGCTGGGAAATGTGCCCAGCTGGGAAATAGCCCCATGAAAGGCCTGGCCAGTGGGGACTCAGGAGTCTTAAATCTGCCCCTAAGGCCAGGCACAGCACTGCTGGCCTCGAGGCTCAGGTTTCTCAGGTGGGAGCCCAGCTGGGTCCTGGATGGCGCCCAGGGCCACTGGCTTTCTCCTCGAGTACTTGTCCAGGACCACTGGTGCCATCCGCTGGCTCCTGGGCAGTGTCTGGCCCGGGAAGGCCTCATGGAAGCTCTCGGGCAGGCGTGAGAGCCAGGACTTGGCACAGACCACTGGGCGGACATCATCGCCCAGCTCCCTGGGGGACCCCCCCCAGCCCTGGCTCACTGGCTTCGAGGCCCCAGAGTCACACTCGGCCCCCTCGGGACAGCATTTTCCCACAGCCGGAGCCCAGGTGCGGAGGGAGGAAGGCTCCCAGGAGCGGGGGCCAGGCCTGGCAGGAGGCGCAGCCACAGGAAGCGAAGGCCTGGGAGGTGCAGCCCAGCCTGTGCAGAGTGGGAATGCATGCTTGTGCTTGTGCGTGCACACGAGGATGTGAGCACACCATGCACCCCACCAGCGTGTGTGCCCAAGCAGTCTGGTACCCTGCTCTGGCCCGCAGGTGTGCGGGAACTCAGGCACGCAGGCACAGCACTCCCCACTCGGAAGCACGCAGCCCTCCACAGAGTACACGTTGGAGCCAGTTTCTGCTAAATTAAAAACAGCTTTTTCGTGTTTAAAGTTTACAATACGAAAAATAATTTTCCTTTCTTCCGGGGGCGGGGCGGGGGCTGGGGACATTCCACTGCTGGGGCGGTACCCCCACCAGGCCAGCACCCCTGCCAGCTTGGCAGGGACAAGCTGTTCCAAGGTGTGAGCTGATGGGCCTCGAAGCTGGCAGAGGCCCCTCACCCAGCAGCCCGGCTGTGGTAGGAAGCCACTCTAGGGGGACCGTGCAGGGGGGCTGAGGCTCCGGGTAAGGACCCAGGGATCCCTGCAGCTTGGGCCAGGTCTGGAGTTCTTAGGGATGTTGGGCAGGTCGTCCCTGGGGGCAGCCAAGTGGGCACAACCTTTGGGACTCTGGGAGATTGGGACTCCAAGTGAGGCTGATGGGCACACTCCCAAGAGGCTGGGCCTTGTCCCTACCCTGTGGCCCCACAGTCAGCACTTGGATCTGAGATGGACCTGCAGCTGGGGCTGGAGACTCCCTAGTGCTCAAGGGTGCCCCTTGTTGCCTAGGGCGACCCTGGCAGACGACACCATAATCCAAGCAGGAGCAGCCTCAGTGCCCTGCGCTGCTGGGGAGGACCCAGATAGGCGAAGATACCTCGGGCCCAGGCTCAGCGTGCCGCTGGCTTGATTTTATTAAACACAGGGTGACACAAAGGGGACACTGGCAGCGGTGGCGGCAGAGGTTAATCCTTTACACGGTGCTCAGGTCGCGTGGACACCACATCCATCGTCTGCGAGCAGCCGCAGAGACACTTTAAGCTGCCCCTAGAGAGCAAATCTCATTTCAAAGACAGCAGTGCTGCCTCCTTAGAAAAACAGAAAGTGAAACACAACAGAGAGGGGAGCTTTCGGGGCTAGGAGCTCAAGACAAATGTGGCTGGGAAGCCACAGCCCCTCTGAGGGAGCAGGGAGTGAGCTCACTGGCCTGTGCAGCCCAGCTGGCCAGGGCAGGGCTGGGGAACCCCCACCTCCGTTTGCAGGGGCCATGGTGGTCTAGGTACTAGGGTGCCTCTGAGAGTCCCACCTGCGAGCAGAGCCAGTCCTGTGGGGTGGGCACATTGGAAGCACGGGCACTCAGGAGATGGACTGGGGCTGGGTGGGGAGGGCAGGTAGCAGGGCAGGGCCCTCAGGGTGCCCCCAGGGTGCCAAGCAGCCACCTGGGGAGCACTCAAGGCGTCCAGCTGGGATCGGGATGTGGGGGGGGGCGGGAGGAGGCTCCTCCATTCTCTGGCTGAGCGGTGCCCCAGGCTTCAGCACTACCTCCTGGTCCCAGCCCGGGGCAGCAGCACGGGTGCGCAGGCAATGCCGGCGAAGGACTCGGGGAAGTGCAGGTCCCGCTCCCACTCGTCCGTCTCAGTGTTGTACACCTGCACCAGGCCTGTGACGTTGTTGAGGCGCCAGTTGTAGCCGCCCACGATGTAGATCTTGTGCTCCAGCAGGCAGCAACCAGCCTCCGACTGGCCAGCCCGCATGGGTGTCACGCTGGTCCACTGGTCCGCCTCGGGCATGTAGTACTCAGCAGCCAGCACGTCAAAGCAGCGGTCCACATGATCCATGCGGCCCCCCAGAGCATAGATGCGGCCTCCAGTGCCCACCATGGCGTGCAGCACGCGTGGCTCACTCATGGGTGCCTTGAACTCCCACTGATCTGTCACGGGGTCATAGCAGTGCAGCGCCTTCTTGTCCTCTACTGAGATGCCATAGCCCCCCGAGATGTAGAGGCGGCCCCCTGAGGCAGCACCTGCATGGCCCCAGGTGCGGCGCTTAAGCGAACAGGCGTAGCCCCACTCGTTGCGCCTCGGACAGTAGCGTTCCACGGAGGCCAGGCTGCCAGCACGGTTGCGGCCACCTGTGGCGTACACCAGGCCGCCCAGCACGTTCAGCTGAAACTGGATGCGGCTCTCCTGCATGGCCTGCAGCCGCAGCCAGCGGTTCAGGTGTGGGTCATACCGGTAGCAGGCATCCACAGCACCCTCTCCACTGCGGTACTGTAAGTGCTGGCCACCAGCCACATACACGAAGTTGTCCAGCACAGCCACACACGTGTGGCTGCAGCCCACCTCCATCTCCGTAAGCTCCCGGAAGTGCCGGGCACCTGGCTCAGGCAGCTGGAACACCTTGCTGCTGACACAGCGGTCACTGTCAGTGTAGGGTGTGCCGCCAAAGGTGACCAGTGAGGGCACATCAGAACGCACGGCCGTGCGTGGTGACTGCATCTCATGCTGGCGGAAGGGCAGCACCTGGTAGTTGAAGGCCTCCAGCAGGTACTGGCGGCACAGCACATCCTCCACCATGATGTCCAGTGTCTGCACACTGTCCACCAGCTCTGAGGACTGCATGAGCGGGAAGCGGATGTGGCACAGCACATGGCTGGCACGTGGCCGCCGGGCCGGGTCGTGCTGCAGCCAACGGACGGCAGCACGGAACAGGTCAATCTCGGCACAGCTCTGCAGTCTGTTGCTCTGCAAGAAAAAGACCAGGCGCTCGAGTGGCAGGCGCAGGAAGTCCTCCTCCTCGGCAATCTGCAGGAAGTGTCGGAAGGTGAAGGCGTCCACTGACTCACGCAGTGAGGCCAGGCTGAAAGCTGTGGCCATCTGGCCGATGTGCAGACAGGTCTCCACGCTCATGGCTGCCTTGAGGAACTCCTCGCACAGTTCCACCACTGGCAGCATCTGCAGGAACACGGCGGCACCCAGCACGTCCTGCACGCAATCCAGGTCCAGTGTCACCTCAGCACTATAGGCGAAGTCAATGATATGCCGCAGGCCACGGGCTGACACACCCTTTAGCTCAATGACGTCTTGGCTCGCCTCCCGCATGCCGCCTGTGAACATGGCCCTGCAGGGGAGCATGGGGCATCAGGGTGTGGGGTTGGGGCACAGAGACATGGCCCACAGGCAGGAAGAAACATGCAAGAGAGAAACAAGACGGACAGGGGCATGGCACCGGAATTGAGCCACACCTGCAGCCCTTCCTGTCATTATTGTGAGACGGGGTCTCACTAAGTCGCCCAGGCTGGGCTTGACTTTAGGGTCCTCCTGCCTCAGCCTCCTAGACTGCTGGGGCCACAACCGTGCACCGCTGCTCCAACTAGGTTCCTGCTAATTCCTTCTGCAATCACTGTGACTCCCCTGCCACCACAGTGCAGTGCAACGTTCCTGTGTGACATTCTGTGAGGGTGCTGCAGGCACCCTTGCCAGCCTCTGCTGGTCGCCTGGCTGTGCAGGTTCTCAGGCGCTGTGGGGGAGACAGAGGTAGTGGGCTGTGGGTGTCAGGAGGGAGGCTTGACTTTTAAAGCCATGCCGGCTGCCATGCCAGCCTGGGGATCCTTTAAAGGGCATCACTGGCTGGGCAGGCCCATCCATCCCCAAATCCACAATAAAAATAGCAGCAGCGCCCCAGTTGGCTTGGCTGCCACAATTCCCTGAAATGACCTTGCTGAACCTACAGGGTGGGTGGCAGGGCCTCGGGGTGCATATAGCCCGTGGTGCATACTGGGTGAGGTATAGGGGGGGGAGGGCAGCTCCACTGCCATGGCAACCCACAATCAGCAGGGGAACTGCCCCACCCACCAGCTCCAGGTGAGCCTCACTTCTTGCCCAGCTTCTGCAAGGAAAGATGGACAGACCCATGTGCCCACCAGGGCTGCAGCCACTGTGCAAAAGCATGGGGACAGACCCAGGATTGCTGTGGTCCTCAGGCCCCTCCCGCCCTTGGCCATTCTGCTTTGGATATACTGAGTGTGGATGTCAGGCTGGGTCTCCAGGGCCACTGCCTGGCATACAGTAGGAATCAAATAAAGACTCTAGGAGGCTAAGGCAGGAGGGTCACAAGTTCAAGCCCAACCTGGACAATTTAGCAACTAGGAAGACCTTGTCTCAAAATTTGCAGCTCAGTGCAGAGGTCCTAGGTTCAATCTCTAGTATAGTTTAAAAAATTAAAACTAAAATTAAAAAAAAGACTTAGAGTGAAAGTCCTGCCAAGCCTGGCCACTATGCCTGGGGTAGGAGCTGCTGAACAGGTGCCCACAGCACCTCTATCTGCCATGTGGGACAGCATGGGAGAACTCAGCCAGTGGACAAGACCAGAGGAGAGGCCGGCCAACCCCAGCCCCGCCCTCCTGGTGAGCAGCTGCTACTCCCTCCCCCTGCGAGGGGCTTACCGGAAGTAGTCACTGCAAGCAGCCAGGACTACCTTGTGTGCATGGAAGGCCTCCCTGTTGATGGTGAGCACAACATCCAGCAGCTGGCCCTGGGCACGGAGGGCAGCCAGACCCTGCAGGAGGCTGGCACTGTGGCTGGGTGCTGAAAAGGTGCACTTGAGGGCCCCGTGCCTATCCGCCATGCTGTAGGGAGAACAGAGGAGAGGACAAGACTCAGAGGCCAATGGGGGTTGGCAGGGCACCCTGGAGACAGGTGCCAGGAGCCAGCTACAAGAAGCCAGGGGGCATGAAAGTCCACAGGGACAGGAATTGGACAGGGATAGCCTGGGACTGTGAGGCGGAGGCAAGGGGAGCCTTGGTGCACAGGGTCCCCTTCTGGAGTATGAGTGCTCTATAAACCAGACAGAGCAGAGGCTGCATGGTATCAGATGCTGCCAAACCACCCACTTTACGACAGCATAGGTGGCCAGGGTGGTATGGGCCTGTCATCCCAGCACTCCAAGAGGCTCTAGCAGGACACAGGTTCATGCCCAGCCCGGGAGACTTACCAACTCAGCAAGACCCTGTCTGACAATACACAGTCAAGAAGGGCTGCCTAGACAGTATGGTACACAAAGGCGCCAAAAACAAAAATCAAAACATGGCGGAACATGAGCTCTCTCCCTTTCCCACCCCACAGGGTCCCCATGGCCAAGATCCCCAGCCAGGCCCCTCCTGCCCAGCACCATGCTCTCCCCGCTGGCCGGGGCCCCCTGGGACAATGCCTGGCCACATCGAGGGCCAGGAATGTGGCACTGGTCGTTCCAAGAATGTGCGGGAGGGGAGGGGGCTCCCGGCCCCTTGGCTGCTGGCCGCAAACAGCACCACGCTTCCAGTGCGTGTGGCCACACGAGGCACAGACTGGCCCTGCCCCTTGCAGCCCACTGAGGACCCTCAGGGAAGAGGAGCAGGCGCCTGTGGTCCAGCCCTGCCCACTGGAAGCGGAGGGCCCAGTGAGGGGGACACAGTGTAGGGAACATAGCTGATGGGAGAAATGCTGCAAGCGCCTCCCCAGGCATGTTCCCTGGCTAGCAATGTGAGGTACAGGAGGCCACCACGCAGCTCCAGGGTGCAGGGGTATACAGAGCAAACCTGGCGGGGGAGGCCAGTGGCCGGGCACAGAGGAAGAGCAGCCTCTGGGCCAGGTGGGCTCTAGCTTTATCCATGCTGCCCACCTGCCTCAGCCCCTCAACCCCTAAATCCCCCACAGACCTGGAACCCTGAGGGCTATGAAGAGGACATGAGGGTCCTAGGTCTGTGGTGGCCAGGCTGTCCTGTGGCTGTGGTGCCTGGGTGGGGACAAGTAGGCCTGCCCTCAAGGTATGCTCGGTTGGGGGAGCCAGGTGGGAGTAGGCCTATCTGGGAGCCACCAACACAGTCAAACACATCTGGGTCAGTCAGGCATAATGGTCATGTGGGCCACAGGGCCACTTATTAGTACACTAGAGGCCAGGTCCTCGCCTCCCTGGTCCATGCATCTGCCCTAAGGAACATCCAGCAGCCTGACCCATACCTAGGCCGCGGTGGGGGCTGCCTGGCAGCCCACCCAGGGGAGCTGGCACCCACAAAGATGTAGTGTACACATGAGGGACCTAAATGGGACACCTAAGGTTTGCACTCCGACACCGCCCTCCGGGCCATCCCCCGGGACAGCAGCAGGTGAGGGTGGGGAGTGTGCCCCACTGTACAGCCCCTGCAGCCCGGCAGTGTCTGCCATCCTGCTTCCGGCTGCCATCCTTAAGCACAAAGGGGTCAGCAGCACAGCAGCACAGGTGAAAGAGGGATTCCTGCTGGGGCCACAGTGTCACGAGGCCACTTAGGGACCCCAGCCTGGCTCTGAGCCCCTGGCAGAGGCCCTGCAGGGCCCTCAAACTGTCCCTGCCTTCTAGTCCCGGAGGAACCAGACACTACGCCTGGGGAAACTGCTGCTCGCCTCCCGGTCCCCTAATTCCCACTACAGAGCACCATGGGGCAGGGACATGGCAAGTGCCAGGAGGAGCCAGCAGCCTGGCGGACAGGGAGGGTGGCCTCACACCATCGCTAGGAACAGGATGGGCCTAGGAGGACAGTGTAGCAGAGCGCTCTAACACCCCAGACCCTTGGCTCAGCCCCTGCCCCCAGGCCCAGGCAATGGCATAGTGGTCCCACTGCATCCTCGCAGAGTGGGTTCCGAGATGCCTGCGCCAAGGGTGGGTGCCAAGACCCTTGGCCTGGCATGGAGCCTGTGCCCACCCTCCCATGGCTGTTGACACCTCATCAGGGCCAGTGCTGGGGAAAGGACAGCAGGAAAAGCTCCATGCCTACCAGTGCAGGTGGCATCCTCTCCTGGCACTGCTGGCAACCATGTGGACTGAGCTGGGGCACGCAGGACTTGCAGACATGTGGACTGGGTCAAGGGCGCCACTGCCACTTCAGGTAGCAGGGACCTGGTGACAGGCTAGTGGTGGAGGAGTCACAGGAACAGCTGCCAGTGGAGCTAGTGGCAGTAGAGGGATTCATGCCACACGCCAAGAATGCACCAGGAGCATGGGGCGGGGGGGGGGGGCTGTGGAGGAGTGAGATGGGAACAACGGGGAGAATGGGGATGGGGAGGAGGGGCATGAGGACGACAGAGATGGGGAGCACTGGGATGGGGAGCACTGGGATGGGGAAGATGGGGAGAATGCAGATGGGGAAGCAGAGGATGAGGCACCCGTTATCCTGCCCCATGCTGCTCTGTAGCAGGAAGCGGGGGACCAAGAGGTGGGCAGGAGTTTTCCCTGGGGGCCAGAAGGCAGGGACGGCACTAGGGACAACATGGGTGCCTGTGAGGAGTTCAGGGCCAGGCTGGGGTCCTCTGGGCCAGCGGTCTGAGTCTTGCCAGCTCTGGCAATCTGGGGACTCGGGGCCACTCAGTGGCACAGACCTTGGTGACCAGGTGGGGGCCCTTGGGACTGGGACTGTATTGCCACTACCGAGTAGACACCTGGGCACTTTGGGAGTCCCGGGGTCCCCCTCTCGGAGTCAGGACAGCCCTCCCCCGGGATGGGCCCAACCTGGGCAAGACGGGCAACAGCAGCCCATCCTCCACCCCACTGCCCACTGCATCCCAAGCAATGACACCCCCCATGGCTGAGTCCCTGCCACAGGACGGGCCCTCTGCACTGGAGCCCCTGACACCCGGGGAACTAGGATGGGCAGGCATTTCGCAGCCAGATGGCGAGGGCAGACCGGCCGATGACTAAGGAGGGGCAGGACCCATCACACAGGTTGGCCCAGACTGGGGGCGGCTGGCCCCCAGGAAGGCAGCCGGGGCTCCAGACGGCCACTCGAGTCACGGTCACCCGCACGTGAGTCATCAGAGCCTGTGCGTCAGCAGCCGGGTCAGGGCGTCCCTGGAGGCCACTCGCCCTGGCGGCGCCCTCAGCCTGGACGTGGCCTCTGAGCGGCTGCATGCCCCCACTGTCCCAGTCATGCTTGCATCCATGTTCCTGGCACGGCTTTCAGACACCCCTGGGAAGGCACTGGGTAACATGAGTGCCCTCGGGGACACTGTGCCTTGACCTGGGTCAGCTCTGCAGACAGCGAGCACACAGGGCAGCCCAGCAGGAGAGGCCACAGGACACTTGGCCACACTGCACTCCAGGGACCAGCTGGGAGAGGACAAGGCAGGCTGGGGAGTGGAGTTGGGCCACCTGCCAGGCAGGGTGCCCCTCCTCCCGCTGCCCGGCTGCCAGCCTCAACTCCATGGTTGCTTCCTGATTGGCAAGAGATTTGAAGCCCCAGTTCATCCTTCTCATTGCAAAGTCCAAACAAAGAAAGAAAAAAAGCCATAGAGGCCAGAACATGAGGAACATGAGATGGAAACATCTCTTTGGGGCTCTGCAGCCCCCCCCCTCCAGCCCCAGGTGGAGCGTCCCGCACATGCTGTTCTGAGTGCAGGCCTGAGTCCCCTGGCCCACCAGCTCCAGGTTCACTGTCCATGTGGCTGGGCGCGGCCAGCAGCACAGCTGGCTTGCACCCCGGCCCGGCTGCTGCAAGGCCCACCCCGCCCAGGGTCCTCAAGCATGCGGGGACAGCAGGACAGTGGGATGGGATGGCGGTGCCTGCTCCACTCTGCCCCAGCTGGTAACTGGAACACCACCAGGGCTCTGTCCTGGCATCAGGAAGGCAGGTGAAGCGGGCAGTCAGAGGGCAGTCAGAGGAGCAGAGGTGTCTGCCCCGAGATGCCAGGCGGGAAGGGGCTTCCAATGGGGAAGGGGACAGCTGCTCCTTGGTCACTACAGGTGACCCCTGAGGCTGACAGCCTCAGCCAATGGCCATGGAGCCTGGGACTCTTGGAGCTCTGGCTGCTGCTGATGAGGGGCAGACCTACGGGCACGGCCCCCATCCCAGAGGGACGACCAACCACAGCCCCTCTCAGGGCCAGGAGGGGCAGGTACCACCCAGGAGGAGCCCAGGAGGGATGCATGCCCCCACCATCCAGGCAGCATCCATGGCACAGGGTTGTCCTGGTGCACAGCCAGACCCAATCCAGGGGTACCCTCCCACCAGGGACCCCCCCTGCTGTACCTAGCTGGGTTCTGCACACAAATCCAGCTCCCCAATTTCCACTCGGCCTGCAGACTCAGAGAGAGGCACTGTGTCCTCGCTATCCACATTTCACAGATGGGCACAGAGAGGGTCAGGCACTTGCCCAAGATCACATAGCAAGCAGTAGGCACAAGGACACCAGGTGGTAGGTGGAGACCATCCTCAGCCAGCCCACAGGTGCTCGCCAAGCCCTTGGACCATTGCTGAGATGCAGATAGTGAGACTGAGGCCCAGAGGGAAACTCGACCCCATTCACCTTCCCATGGCCCTGCAAGAGAGGGGTAGCGCCTGCCAGGTCACACAGGGAGAGTCCTGGGCCACTGCTGCCCTGTCTCCCCTGAGCCCCAGGCTGGCTGTTTGCCCCCTGCTCCTGCCCCATCTGGGGCACCACTTGCCTGTCACAGCTTTTCTCTCCGAAGCTGACATGGGAGCCCACCAGGGTCAGGCAGTGGCCTAGCACCACACCCACCACAGGGGAGGGGCACACTGTGCTTGTCTGTGGCATGGGGGAGGGTGCTGGGGTACATGTGGGGAGGTACATGGGGGGATAGGAGGAAAGCTAGGTGGGAAGA